CGTGTAGCAAAGCTCTGCCCGGCACCATGGCCAGGATAGGGTGCCCAGCCGGCACCCTCCCCATGCATGGCACCCAGCACCCTGCATGTACCCAGAGCTGGCCTGGGAGCTGCCCTGCACTCTCCTGAGATCTGCACTGGCCAGGAAAGCACTGGGAAGCTGTGAGGGCGTCACTAACGCCTGAACTCCTTGGGCGCTCCTGACTAACTTGTGCAGAAGCGGAGCTGGTCCATCCTTGTGGATGAGGCCTTCCGGACCCTCTTGTGGCAGCTACCTGGTGATGCAAGCAGAATCGAGGGTCCACAACAGAACTAAGAAACAAGCCTGGAAACAGGAGCTCCCGGCTGACTGCGCCGGGCAGAGGACACGAGCGACACAGGCAGCTGCTTGACCTGCAGAGCCGTAACTGTCATCAACGCCATCCTAGAGAAATGGGCCCGGTGCTTTTCTATGGCTTGGTGGGAGGAAAGGCTGGGACAACTCCACGGACTCCTGTCCCACAGCGTCCCCTGCAGGCCCTGCCTGAGGACCAAGGGTGCGCCCTGCTGGCTGCCCTGTCCTCCCATGAGGCTAGGGATCAGACCCTCGCCCCTTCCCTCACGAGGCCTCAGTACCAGTAGAGGGCTTCAGAGCCACCCCAAATGGCTCTCCACCAAGGTCGCGCGCGCGCGCGTGTGTGTGTGTGTGTGTGCACACGCATGTGCGCATGAGCATCGCTGGGGACTGGGCCCTGTCCTTCACAGCAGCAAGCTACACCTCAGTCCTTTTTTATTTCCATTTTTTTGAGTCTCACTGAGTTGCTAAGTCATTCAGGCTGAACTTGAACTTGTGATCCTCCTGCCTGAGCCCCATAAAGTGCTGGGACCACAGGTGTGTGCCACCAAGCCTGGCTCACACGCAATGGTGTTCGAAGCCAAGGGCCCCACCTCAATGAAAGAAGCAGGAGCCTCAGAGCCACACTCCTGGCTCTGGCCACAAGCACTGTGGACAGCTGCTGCCTGTGAGTGTGATCCAAATGTCAGGCACAGCTGCCAGAGTTCAGGCTTTCTCTACCAGGTAACAGAGAAAACCACAAGGGGCAGAGCTGAAATCGCCCCTCCGCCAGTAGCCAAGAGCGACAGGAGATGGAGGTCGGCCAGAGCCAAGCACCACGGCAGGGAAAGGCAGAGCCGTGGCCAGGTCATCCTTCATCCCTAGGACCAACGCTGCAACGGCTGGAGGCAAGCGGGGACGCTAGGTAGTAACAGGTCCACCTGCACGTGTGTCCAGACAGACCCACTACCATGGAGCCCCACCCCTCAGGCACACTGGGGGGAGGAGAGAGGGGGCAGCCAGCGTCTCTCGCACCTCAGCGCACGTCGGGGGCCAGGCCCTGTGCATACCTGTCATCCCAGCACTTGGAAGGCTGAGGAAGGAGGACAGTTTCAACCCAAGAGTTTGAGACTAGCCGGGGCAAGAGTAGGACCGGATTTCAAAACCAAACCAAACAACAGCAACAACAACAAACAAAACACAGTGAAGTGGAACATGGAGATGCAATTTTGCTTCAGGACAAAACAAAGACAGCTTTGCTAGTTTGGACTGCACATAATTAGTGTCCCTGTGGAAGACACAGACAATACGTTTCACTGACTGGCTCCTGACGGACAGGACTAAAATTACACCGAGACCAAACTGGAAAGCCACACGTGGGGGCGCAGACGGCGTGACCTTCCAGAGTGAACCCAGTCCTGTGTGACAGTCCCCACGGGCTTCCTGTGCTGTGGGCACAGGGGCCTCTGAGCCCTTTCATGTGAGCCACAGCGGACGTGGGGCCCGGATGCAGATCCATAAGCCCTGCGGCCAAGGCACAGGTCCTAGGCACACACAGAGGCGTGGCCTCCTCTAGCACCCACCCTCGCCTCAGTGCAGACAGGAAGACCCGTGTGACAATGTGTCTCTATAGAGTCTGCGCCCAGAATACGCGAAGGACCCTCCAAGCTCAACAGGAAGAAAGGCACCAGTAAGAGTAGAGGCGGAGGTGGGGCCACCACAGGAGATGCCAAGGGCGCAGGTGAGCGTGGCTCTGGTGCTGGTCACTAAAGAAACCACCACTGCTACACACCAGCTAAGATGGCCGAAGAAGGCCGGAAAGCCAGAAGCCGGGGCCCAGGCCAGAAGGACATGTTCGACCTAGGCATTCCGGGACATGGAGGCGAGCAACACACAGCCATGTGTCCACAAGAGAGTCTCTCCAGCGCCATCTGGAAGAGGTGTATACATAGTCACCCGGACGCCCCGCACTAGCACACCGACACACCACTGTGTCCACTACCCCATGGCGCATCGGCGGGAAGAGGCTGTCTGTTGGCGCCCACTGCAGCGTGGGAGAGCACGGGCTATGGTATCATGAGATGAGCCCAACTCAGAGCTGCCACTGTGGCCACGAGGCTCAGAGCCACGGCAGCACTCACAGGAGCGGGGGCGTGGAGGCCTCGGGGCCACAGAGGAGCGCAGGCCACACTTGGGTGAGAGGTGCTGTCTACCTGTGGTGGTGGTGCACACCCAAGATGCAGGCCCAAACAGGGAAACAGACGGAACTCGTACTCTGTAAGGCCGAGTTTAAAAAGTCTCTCTCATCATCTGCACACTGGTGTTCTCAGCTGATGGCTCACCACAGCCCCGAGGCAGCCGGCACTAAACGGGAGCCCATGCAGATACGTGGATAAGGAAGAGCTCAGTCTGTGTGATGGAGTATCACTCAGCCCTACAAAGGAAGGGAGCTCTAATGCCCACTGCAATGTGATGGACCCTGAGGACATCGAGTGAATGAGCCAGTGACAAAGGGACAAATCCTCAGGGGTCTGTCATGAGGCTCCAGAGCAGCCAGGTCCAGAGATGTGCAGGTGGCTGGTGGCTCAGGATGGGTGTGCGGGTGGGTGGGTAACCAAGTTTCCATCTGGGAAGCTCTGGTAACAGGTGGGGTAGCAGTTCCTTAACAGTGAGAGTGGGCCCGAGGCCACCGAACGGTGCATGAGGAGTGGGCTAAGTCGGTGGATTTTACCACAGGGGTATTTTGCCACAATTGTTTTAAAAAATTAAAGGCAAGTAAAAAGAGGACATTGTCAGTCAGTCTTTTTTAAAGAAAAGTTTTCACAAATCCACAAGCTTAGCCTCTTTTCATTCGAAGATGAGGAAGTGGAGACGGATGAAGCCTGTGCAGATTAGGTGCCAAGCCAGAGCGATGCTCTCAGGAATTGGGTTTCTGGTCTCAGCACCCAAAGCTCTCTTCCCAGAAACCAGGCATCGCCGGCTGCTCCCAACACAGACCCAAGTGCACCTCCATGGTCACTTAGGGGAGACACAGTGTAGGCTGCAGGCCACGGCTGTGCCAAGGTGTGTAGACGGGGGCGGTGGTGCGCACACAGCCGCAGCACGGGGTGCGGCTCCCGATCGCACCCGCTCACCTTGCTCCTTCCCGTTGCAGGCGACTCCATTCTCCACAGCGCCCTCCCCATCTGAACTGGGCCTCTCCGAGGACAGCTTCTGGAAGCACACAAAGGGCTAGGTTATTCCTGAGGCTATGAGGGCAGCCACGCAGCGTGGACCTTCTGCAAGGCAAAGGGAATGTGGGCCGAAGTCACAGCACCCCATGGAGAACAGGCTTCACTCTGCCTTGGTCTGGCTTGTGAGATCGCTAGGAAAGCCTTAAGAACCCGCAATGAGGCAAGCCACTGCCTGCGCCCAGAGCCCTGCCTGCCTATCTCACTCAATATTTTTTCCTGCAAGAGTATACTAGAATCACACACACGCACACACACAAATTCATCCATCAAGCCACATAATCCTTACATAAATTAACATTCACTCCATCATCCATTTAATTTTCTCCTGCTACTCACTAATAATTGCAAGAACGGCAAGCACCCGCTTGTGACACCCAGACATTCACAGGGAGAAACAAGCCACTCCCAGAGCTTCAGAGGAGACAGGGATCCCTGACTCTTCTGCCCAACATCTGGACTTAGTGGGCATGGTTAAGATTCTGCCTTAATAGCTGACGGAGATGTAGGGCTGCAGCCGGATCCCTCCGTCCCTGCTCAGCAGCCTATGGAGTCAGGGCAATGGGAGCAGCCTCCCAGCGCATCCCTGGGATGCCCTGGCCCTGCCCAAGCATGTGGGCCTGAGCCAGACGCAGAGGAGACCTGTGCGTGATTCCCAGGACACGGGGAAGAGCCAGGGCTGGGAGGCCACCTGCCACCACAAGACCTCAGCACCTGGAATCCGAAAGGCGAAGAGCCAGTTCTGACCAGCGCAGAAGAACCCCATGCACTGTGACCGGAAAGGACACCCGAGTGAGGTTTTAGAAAAGCACCCTGATTAACTACAGGAATCAAACTATGGGTAAACAAAACACAGCTCTATCATTTGGTCGAGGAATTCAGCTCCCAGGAAAATCTTCTTGGGCAACAGGCAGAGGGGCACAAAGCTGTATGCAAAAACTGTAATTTAAACAGTGAAGAGTCCCGCACTGGGGCGCGGGCAGGTTGAGCCCATGTGAGCAGAGTCCCGTGAGGGCTGCAGCCGCTTCTGGGAATGCAAACATGCTGTTGCTTGTGATGAAGTGGGCGGGGTGGGGGAAGCAGCACAAGGGTTCGACTGCGTGAATCAGGTTGCGTGGCCGTGTGGAGGGTGCGGAAGAGGGCACCTCCTCTATGGGGCAGGCTTATGGGGGACTTTCACATCCTATTTGTGTCTCTAAACTTTCTGTATTTCCTACAAAGAGCAGGAAGTCATTTTATTGTCAGGGAGGACAAGGGCTTTCCTGTCACAATGTCACATGGTGAGTTCTGTGTGGGAGCTTGAGGGGTGTTTCTAGATGGTTTGAATTGGTGGATTCTGGGCACAGCCCTCCCTGGTGCGGGTGGGCCTTGTCCAATCAGGTGAAGGCCGTAATGAGGGAACAGGAAGACACGCTTCCCTGGGAGAGGCGACTCCCCACCAGATGCATTCACTCATCTACACTGGGGACCTCCTGGGCCCCTGCCCCCGGCCCACACTGCAGATGTGGACTTGCACCCGCTGTGACGGGATGAGCCAGCTCCTTAGAACATCCCCTCCTACACACATGCACGTCCATCAGTTTTGCTTCTCTGGGGAATTCTGATGAATACAAGGATGCACAGAAAGGGATCTGTTTGTCCCCTGGCCAGGGCTGAAGAGCGGCCTCTGAAAGTTTCTGGGGCTTACGCTGCCAGCAGAAGACCTCATGGCCGGAAGCCCTGGGTCTCCATGGAAACAGTATTGGCCTGGCCCAAAGCACAGGCCACACCAGGCTCCATGTGTTCTGGAGAGGAGGGGCTTGCAGCAACAGCCCACCATTGCGTGGCAGAGCGGCTTCTGCCTTCCCAGACTGAAGATGAACCCAGAGTTTGCGGGGAGCAAACCACTGGGAGGCCAGTTTAGGAGCCAGACCTGCCCTCAGCCCTGCTCCAGTGTCCAGTGGCAGGGACGCTGTACCAGAACCTCTGCTCCTGCAAGCCCCTCCTCCCCCATGGCCAGCGAGAGCACAACCAACTGCAGCCGAGCACCGACCACCCAGCTTAGCCCAAGGTGGCCTTCAGTGGGCAGGAAGCAGGGCCGCGCTGTTTTCCACCTAGAAATGATAGACTCAGAGTAAGTTACTAAAACGTGGGCTGATTTGGAACGTTCCCAACACAATGAAATGCTAACCCTCTGGGATGGTGGGTACGCCAAGTGCCCCGGCCCACACCTGCATGAACAGGTCACGCTGCACCTGTAGAATGTACAGTCGCCACGTAGGCCTCAGCCAAAAGCAAAAATCAACTCTCAAAACTCAGAACACTTTGGGCAGGAGACCCAGCTCTGCCGCTGAGTCCTCTTTGCTGAAGACCTGGTCTGTTACCTTCTCCAGCTCCGCCTTCTGCACCGGGGCGCTGGCCACGGCTGCGCACTCCACGTCTGCGGGTCCACTGCAGCCACTGTACGCTTCTTTGATCACCTGCAGGAAGCAGACAGAGACTGAGTCCTTTGAAAGCAGACCACACGGAAGTAGCCAAACCAGGAGAGGCCAGACTGGTACATGGGGGACAGCGACTCATGGAGTCAGAAGCACGTGGCACATGGAGCATCAGGGTGGCTCATTCACTCGCCGAACTCTCCATGCAGTTCTGGGGAGACAGCAGAATAGTGCCTGCGAGGAGCCGCTCATGGAGTTCACCCCCTACTGCTCAGCTCTCATCATAAACAATAAGAGCTGTCAACCAGCTGCAGTGGGCAGCGGAAAGAGCTGCAGATAAAGGAGGAGGAGGCTGGCCTCCTCGTGAGACCGAGGGAGGCTGCAGAGACGCAAGCAGGAGGGCGGAGTGGGGAGCAGGAGAAGACAGCAGCCAGGCGGCCCAGGAAAGGCTTCCACAGAAGGGAGGCAGAGGCCTGTGTGGCGACGTGACTCAGCGCAGCACCTTCCTCGAAGGCAGGGCTCCCCATGAGCTGTGGGCAGAGGTCCTCGCGCTGAACTTCGGGCGCCGGCCTGCCGGTTGAGTCTACTACCTCAGTGAGTCACAGGGGAAGACCATCGGTGCCCGGTTGCGCAGCCTCGGAGGGAAGGACTAACCTCTCAATCTCAGTTTCTTTTTGGGTAAAGGAAGGCATCAAGCTGATCTCTGGCAGAATGAAGGCGAAGAGAAAGCGAGGCGCCGCGTGCAAGACGCCTTAGCCAGCCACCACGGAGGTCACCACGGAGGTCACCTGCACCAAGAGGGCCTGTGCCTAGAGAAATCCAGAGGGCCAGGCCCCGGCGGGCGGAGCCATCGCAGCCAGCCCTGCTGCCACGCACTCGATCCTTTATGCTGTGGCGCTCACAGCACGTGCAGGCGTGGCCTGTCGTGGGGACACAGTACTCGGGACAACAAGGTCCTCCCGCGCAGTCGGCAAGCAAATCCCACAAGCGCCATCTATTCTTGCTGGAGATAAGCTGCAACTTGAGTCCAGCGCAAGCTCCTTTTGGCCAAAGCCCCGAATGCCCAAGCAGCCCCGCAGCCAGATCTCAGCAGGTGGCTCTGAATCCACGCGCTCCGTGGGCTCTGGTGCTGGGACTCCACCCGAGAGCTGACTGGGCCCTAGCACTCTGCCACTCAGCTGCTTCATGGAGGAGTAACCAAGCTGCGCCCGCATCTGGGCTGAGGGACACAAGCAGCCCAGGAAGGAAGCAGCTGACGGAGCTCAGGGCAGCGGTTTTTTCCTTGTGAATCCTGAGGCACAAAGGTACACAGGACACCGTCCTGTGGGGGACCTGCACCTTCCCCAGGCAGCCAAGGGCAAAGATCGGCTCCAACAGTGGTGAAGGCTCTAGTGAAGGAGGACGAGGCTCAGTCCTTTCCCCAGGGAAGCCGCAAGACAGCATGGAGGCCACTGGCTGTGGTGCCAAGTGTGGCCAGGGCTGAGTGCACCCAACCCCACACCTGCGCTAGCCCTGCACCTCATTCTGATCCTCTAACAGCAGCTCACGGACTGGGGTGAAAGCCCAACGGTGACAAAATCCAGCAGGAGCCTGCCTGTCCTCGCATGGCAGCAGGCTGACCTCTGCCCTTTCCCGTGATCACAGCTTCAGTTAAAGGAAGGCCCGGTCAGCGACGCCAGCAAACCTGTGTCACTGAGGACTCGAGTCCTCTGCATCTGCGCCTATGCCCGCTCCCTGATCCACGGGGCCTGCAAAGGCCTGGATCTCAGCATCTCAGAGCTTCTTTCTCTCTTCCCTGGGGTTCTGGGGCACATGTGGGATTCCCTATAGGAGGTGGGCATCCCCCAGAAATAAAGACGCAGGCTCTGGCCTCCTGCCGTGTATGAGGCAGTGTCCCAAAAGCCAGGGACACACACCAAAGGATTGGTGGCCAGCTTGTGACCGGGCTAGGAGATGGGGTCCTATACAAGGAGGGCCCCGGAGGGCAGCTAGGTCACTAGGGCACCTCGGGACTCCAGCTCCTTCCTGGCTCTTTTCTGGCTTCCTGGCCACGATGAGGTGAGTGGCCTCCTGTGCCTCATGCCCCTGGCATGACACGCTGCCTCGTTCCAGGGCCACAGAGCCCAGAAGCCCTGGACCTGGGAGCCAAACAGCCTCTCCTCCTTAGAAACTGTGTGCTCCGGCGTTGTGTCATGGTGACAGAGACCTAGTAACATACGTGCCACCCACACAGCCCACGCCTGGGGGTCAGGGCCGCCTGGCCACATGCACTTGCTGTCACAGCACAGTCTGCACCTGCTCGGGTCTGTGGCCCCGTGCCCAGCTTGCCACGCAACCAGGCCAGGAGAAGGGCAGGCAGCAAGGGACTAAACCTGACTGGAGATTCAGCTTCGGGGCAGAGTGGGCACGTGGAAGGCTGCAGGAGTGAAGGGAGGCGTAAGTGAGCCAGTTGGCAAAGGTCTCCAGGCTTCTTCGCAGCACTCTCCACAAAGACAGAAGTGTGAGAAAAAGAGGCATGTCAGGGAAGCCTCGCGGTGGGCACGCTGGGACGCCCTGCCCTCAGCAGCTTCTCCTGCTTGCGGGGCTCCCAGCCCCCACTCGAGCAGCGAGGGCCCCGGCCACGGGGCTGCTCAGTCTGCACCTCTGCAAGAAGCCCACAGAGCTGCCCCACTGCAGGTCTGCACACGCAGCACTGCACACCAGCCCTCTTCTGGCTTCATCTTGGATTCCCTGCAGAGGAAGCTGCACAACCCCAGTGCACAGAAGGGGTGGGCACCAGGGGGCTCAGGCCAGGCGCAGCCTCTGTCTACCTGCAGGCTCAGCAGCAACGGTGCCAGGACAGAGAGGGCACCATGGGAAGGCAGCGACCACCAGAGGGCGGGGCAGGCCGTGTCACACAATGTCCTTCTGCCCCATGTTCCTCTCAGACCAAGAGAGCCCTGTGAGCGAGCTCAGCAAGCAGGAGCACAGGCTCCCCACCCCGGCTCGGAGCGGCTCCTTACGTTCCTGCACTGCGGTTCAAGGAGAGTGTTCTGTGAGGCCAACAGGCACTGAGGAGGACTGCACCCAAATCCCAGGCGCAAATTCTCCAGGAAGCAAATTGTTACGTGCTCTGTGGTGCTTTTGTTTGCTTTGAACTGGATCCCTCTTCTCCAGAAACATAGTCTCTGCACATTTTTGAAGGAAACCTGACCACTGTGCTTCTGGGAATTTTGGCTCTTGGTCTTCTGTTTGACCTCTGTGCAACAGCTCATGCTTACGGCATCTGTGAGTATGCACGCATGCACGCTCACGTGTGCACACACACACGCGCGCACACACACACACTGAGCTAATAAGAGCTGCTGGTGTGGAGGAGGCAGGGGCAGGACAAGCAGATTGGAGGCAGCTCCCGAAGAGCCGTGCAAGGTCGCGGGCTGGTCCGATGCTATCTTCTGGGTTACTGGACAAAGGTCCGTGGCTCTTACTAGAGGAATTTTCATTGTTATCTTAAAGCTGTGCCTCTATCACAAGCCCGATCTCCAGTCCCCAGCTAATGGGTAACAGCAGATTATGGTAAGAAAATAGCTGGCACTGTGTTAAAAGACAGTTCCTGTTGGGCTTCTGCAGGGAATTAAAGGGGTGATGTGAACAATGTCCAGTTTTCATATCTTAGCTGCTTCTAATAGTCCCAAGAGTGTATTTGGGTCAGTTTTTCACTCTACCCTTTCTGTAATCCTGATAGGTGCTCTTTCCCTGGACAGATAAAAATCAGAGGCTGAGCCAGGCATCGTGAGCTTGGGGGCCAGGACCCGCGCTGGGCACCAGGCCCGGCCGCTTCCTGTTACCCTGACACACCGCCTTCCCTCTAGATGGGGCCATTTTTTCTTCACGACCGCAGGTTTTTGCTTCCAAAAAAAGGAGGGGGGTGATCTCAGTCACAAAGGTGTGGCCGTCACCAGGGGGTGCAGATGCACTCCCACCCAAACACCCCTGCAAAGGCTGAGGTTATTTTGGAAAAAAAAAAAAAAAAAAAAAAAAAAAACCCTAGTAAATGAATGAGTAAGGGTATAGAGATCAGCCTGACAGTTACACGGCGGTCTGCAAGCCTGGGCGAGCCAGGGCACCAAGCAGCTGGCCACGCAGGTCCTCCACTTATGGGCAGGGCCCTTCCTGGCCCATCTCCCCTAAGCGACACATCACACCCACTGGTCCCTAGGCAGCAACTCAGAAAGTCTGTGCATGTCGCCAAGTTAAAACAGAGACTTTAAAAAAAAAAAAAAAAAACCAGATGATTTTCTAAAGTCATCAACTGTTTAGTCGGCAATACATCTCAAAGAAGCCATTAGCTGAAGAAGAAACAGCAATCAGAAAATATTCTGAACAGAAAGCTAATAGAGGCGCAAAACCTGGGGTGCAGCCAGGGCTCCGCTTGTAGGGAAACGCAGTTCCAATGCAGCCTCAAGAAAAAAGGCCCCACTCCTCCTTTCCTGTTATCTTTAATTTTGCTCTCTCACGCTTGGTTTCTCAGGTAAGAGACCATGCAATCGCGAAGGCTGTGCGTTGGGCCAGGGTCTCGAAAGACTGTGAAAGACTGCCTCCCTCAAGGCTTGTTACAAGCTCAGCATATTACCCACCTGATGTGAGAAAAAAGAAGAAAGGAGAAAAGGGAAGAAAGGGGGAAATATTTAAAACTTCGCTCACAGCTCTGCCGGCCACTCTGATATGCTGCTGGAGGGCGACAAAGCCCAACCAGGGAACAAGGGCGATGCCGCCCTGCACCGCGACTACAAACGCTGAAAGCCTTCGCACGAGGCCTTCTGAAGTGAGGCCCTCTCAGAATTTAGCCTACACTCGAGCTTGTGCGACGAACGCACTGCACTGCCTGGGGTGGGCTGCCTCAGAGTCTGCCAGGCCACCACAGGACAGAGGCCGGGCCCGCGAGCGGGAGCCACGTGAAGCTGTGCCACACTATGTGGTGAGTCTGCAGGCAACAGAGCAGGGAGAAGGGCTCCTGTGTCTGCAGGCAAAGCCCCCAAGCACTTTGCTCAGGTGAAGATGATGCGGCCACCCAGCCGCCCGTCCGCCTGCTGCACAGGCACGGACACGTCCCACAAAGGCAACGGCCCACGTGCTGGCAAAAGGGTAACGGCCTGCAGACACTGGCGGGATCCCCATGCAGCCGGCGCTCCTACGCTCAGCAGCCCCACCCCCGAGAGGCTATGGCACGTGGGACGGAGGGCACAGCCAAGGGTGCCGTGGTTTCATGTCCACCTGGCACTTGGCAAGAGGTGCCAAGGAGCCACAGGCACAAGGCAACCCCGGGTGGCAGGAGCCCTGCAGGACCCACAGAGCTGGGGCCAGCCCCAGAGAAGCCTAGCTGTGAGCGTGCTGGTCAGGGCACACAGCACACAAGCAAAGCATTTTCTAAATTAGCTAAATTCAAGGTAAAAGTTCCCTTGGAGGCGGAGAGAGCTAAGCAGAGGAGGTGCGCCAGCAAGCCCCTCTGCGGCGCCTCCGAACCCTAAAAAGACACAACATCAGAAGAAGAAACTCTTTGCACCCTGCTGAGTCTGAATCACTTTGCCCCAATGTTTTAAAAATCTCTAGGTGATCCTGAAAAGGAGGGCAATCCACTGGCCACACCCAGGAGCAAGAAAAGCAGGTGTCCGTCTCAGGGCTTGCCAGCCTGAGGTGGCTACAGTCTGTGGCCAGTCTTCACTTCTAATCCGGACTACTTGTGGTCTTGTGCTGTCACATGCCACAGAGATGACAGCACAAATATTAGAATAAGCAATCGGTTTGAGCTCCTTGGAAAGAGACAACGCACTTTGTATTACTCACTTCTCTTTTCAGAACTACCAGCTGTTGCTAAAAAGTTGCTTTTGCAATTAATTCCACACACAAAGGGAGCCACCACTGCTCTGGTCAGCAACGCCCCTGTCCACACGGAGCGCACAGCCGAGGGAGCAGGGTACAGGATTATTCCACCTAGCAACAGCTTGGAAGAGTGGAGGGAAGGGTCCACCAGGCCGAAAGTGGGATGCGAGGCAGAGGACGGCCACAAGAAAGCACCTCCCCTCCCTCGGGCACCCACACCCTTCTGCAGTGTGTTCTTTGATTCCGCTAATAGGGCTGCTTATGCTCCTCTAACACAAGACAGAAAGAAAAGCGGCAAGCAAGGTCCGCACTCAGCCACACCAGGCTGAGGTCACAGGCGGGCCGAGGGAGGACGGCAGCTGCTGGGCAAACAAGCAAGCAGGAAAGGCAAAGCCAAGCAACCACGGCTGACTCCCAGCTGGGTCCCTGCTGTCACACAGACCTGCTCACAGCGATGCCGGGTGCAGAGACGTGAAAGGGCCCTGAGATCGTGCGGGCGTGGGGCAGTTCTGCAGCATCGTGAGCTCCTCAGCCCAATGGGACAAATCTGAGAGGACCATCCAGAAAGAAAAGAATTCTCCTCATTCTCCGAGGAGGGAGGCCACAGCCACTGGCAACAAAATGTTGAATGACCACACCCCGTGCTCTGTGCTAGAGGTCCCCACCCTCTGTGGCCCCAAGTGGCCCCGTCCAAAAGGGATGGAGCTCAGGCCGGAACGGTCCAGGGAAAAGGCTGGAGGCACAGGCGGTGTGCACTGCTTCCTCCTGCAGTGCAGCCTGGCTGCCCATAGGCCAGCAGCAGTACTGTCTGCAACCCAGGATGGGGATCTCCCTGCAGCCACCAGGTACCATCATGCCTTGACAAAGCCAATACAAAAATTCTAGAGACGAAAACTATCTGGAGGGATGCAATATGTTGCCTCAAATTCGCTCACTGAAATCCTAGCCCTCGGGCAAGGCGTTAGGAGGCAGCGTGTCTTGGTTACGTTTCTCACTGCTGAGACACAAGTTAAGAGAAGAGAGGTTTATGTGGCTCACAGTTTACAGAGCTTGCAGGCTATCACCAGCCGGTTCCAAGACAGGGTGGTGTGGCGGAGGGGTAACAGTTCATGGTGGCAGAAAACAGCAAAAGCAACCGGTAAGGAGTGAGAGGCAAACTTCTTTAGCCCCTGATATTGTGCTGTCAGCTGGGATCAGGTCAGTGCACGTCCAACCAGGGGGCTGATCCGGCAGTCACCCGCCTTTAATCCCAGCACCCGCAGTCTGAACTGACCACGCACTTTAGCTTCGGCCACCTCTGAAAAAGCCGCATCACCATGCGAGGCTTTGGGGGACACCTAGACCCCGTAACCCGGCACCTCTGGAGTCATGAGACCCCTGGGTGGGGCCCTGAGAGTGGGCTGAAAGCCCGCCCTGTGCCGTAGCGTCGGGAAGGCTCCCCAGGAGAAGGCAGCCTCAGCACTGAGCCTGCGCAAACCCAGAGCGTGGCCTTCCAGCCTCAAACACCGAGACAGCAAATTCTGTTGTGTAGAAGCCGCCCAAGCTGCACTGCTTCATCGGAGCACTGAGAACTGCCGCGGTCAGCTAAGAGCACAGCAGACAAGAAGAGTGCGACAGCACCTCAGGAACAGTCAGCGAGAGAAGGGGCGCCCTGGGAGGTAGCAAGAGAGAGCAAGTCAGACGGATGCGGAGAGAGAACGTGGAGAGGGCAAGACACGGAACCGAGCAAGTCTGCTGATTAAACACCACCTCTGGAGGGGGCAAGGCGGCAAAGATGAGCCGGGAGAAGACAGCTGGGAATTCTTTCTAAAACGTAGAAAGAGAAGCCCAGCAAATCCCAAGCAGAACAGACCAACAAAGACCCATGTGCAGGGACAATACAGTGAAACTAGAGAAAATAAAAGGCAGTCTGGGAGGCAGCCTGCAAGCAGGGACAGACAGCCTCTCTCAGAAGGGCCAGGTGACAGGACCCTGGTCGCCAGGCTGCGCCACAGGAAGGTCAGCAGGCGTGGGCGTGGGGGCGCCGGGCCCATGCTGCCTACCTTCAGCCACTGCTCAGCCTGCTCCTTGCTCTGGACCGCGAGCACCAGCGGGTCTGTGCCTTGCTGTGTGATCTTCAGCTCGTGCTTCTTCTTCTTGCTGTCCTTCGGGATGTACGCGATGCTGCAGCCCTGCAGTGGCAGCTCCATCTGCGGCTGCTGGTCCTTGGAGCTCTTGTAGCACTGCACCAACACAACAGAGGGGCACACACAGTGAGGAGGCTGGAGCGGAGCCCCGAGAGGACGCCGCGCCGTAAGCCCTCGGTGCAGGCCGGGCACGAGGCCCATCTGACAGTGGGGACACGGTGCGGCTGGGACCTCACGGGAAAGCCCGCTTCACACCCACACTGCTTCCACGCAGGGCAAGTGTCTGCCTGCCTGCCTGCCTGCCTGCCTGCCTGCCCACGTGGCAAAGGCACAGAGCAGCTCTGACGCGACCGTCAGGAAGAAAGCTCCCCTGCAGCCAGAGCGCCTTCAGCAAGCTCTACACACACGCGTGGACGTAGAAACGCGTAGCTGCATTTGTGTGATAACGCAGTGCAGAAAACACACGGTCCCACTTGTTGCAGCCACACGGCCCAACGCAGGAGACAGTGCAGCAAATGGGGGTGCCACAGCCCGCACTCAAGGCGCCTGCTGGCGCCATCTCCACGCCCTCCATGCAGGCAGACGAGTGGTCCATTCACCCCGAAGTCCAGCGCCTGACGGACGGAGGAGTCACAGCCATGCTTCCTGACACCGCTGTGTCTGCTCTTAGGCTGTCCCTTGACCAGCTATCGCTGAGACTGGTGCCCTCAGTTCCTGCTTACTCTGTACCCAGAGAGCAGAAGTAAATCTCTGCCCGCAGCTTCTTTTATTTAACTCTATTAGCTGGAGCCTGAAGCCTCCCTCTTACAGGAGAGACTCAAGCCCAGAGGTCAGGTATCTGGGTCCTCGGCTCTGTTACTAACTTGATCGGGGCCCCAGGAAGTTTCTTTGCTCAGCCATCTCCTCATGCATGAATGTGCTTTGCTGTTCTTATGAGTTAGAGAGCGTGAACGTATTAGGAACAGTAACGCCTGCCACCAAGGCAGCTCGCATAGCCCGTCTGAGCCCTTGGTGGCTCACGCTGCAGCCAGGGAGGCTGGGGCTGGCTACAAGGAAGAGGGTCAGAAAGGACCCGGCCTCAAGAAGCAAGAGAGCGGTCCTGGGTCTGGACCCAACATTCCTGACTCATGACGTGTGAACGGATAGACGCTTGCTGTGAGAAACGCCACCTCACAGCTTTAAATCTGTGCTTCTCAGGGACCGTCTGAGGGACCCATCTCCTTCAGAAATTCAGCTGATGGCTGCCATGTCTAAACGCACTGCTGAACCACCTAAGCTCATGTTGCTAAGAACGCTCACCATTCCTGGATTTTTTTATAGTTTGAATAGCTGGGCAGGGAAAAAGTGAAAGAGAACTGCCCGTGCCACTGCAGAGGCTGGGAAACGCCACCGCTCCCGCCCTGCACACTGGACTCCGGGTCTTAGCCACATGACCAATGCCATCCAGAGACCCAGGCAGGTCAGGCCCAGGACACGATACAGGCTGCCCCCAAGGACAGCCCAGGAGCAGGGGAGGAGGGAGAGGGCAGGCAGCAGCACAGCTGGGTCAAAGGACAAGGGCTCGGGCAGGCCTGGGGAGGGGCAGGGGCCGGGCCCACAGCCAGTGCTTTGTGCTAAAGGCGTCACAAGTGCTGGGAAGTACTTGCATCATCACAGAGAAGTTCACTCTACCAACAGAGGACCTTAGCCTACTTCTCAATGTTAAAAAGAAAAAAAAATCACAACATAAATAAAAGGTTTTACACTGGGCGTGGTGGCACAAGCCTGTAATCCCAGCGCTCGGGAGGCTGAAAACAGAGTCACGATGAGTCCGATCTACGTAGTGAGACCCTGTAGACTCTGCAGACGCTGTCCTAAATACAACAAAAGAGAAAGAGGTAAGTTTTCCATTTTATCAAAGACAGGGCTTTCCCTAGTTTTCCGTGGACTTCTTCAATACGGACAGCTCCTCCAAGTGGAAATGCTAGAGAGAGACTCGGGACAGGCACACAGGACACAGGAGGAGCGTGAGGGGGAGACGCAGGGGTGCGGACCACACAGTGCTGGCCCGGCCACCGCACCGTGACGGCCCACTGTGTGCACAGCCGTGATGGTGGCCCACCCTGCAACCCGGCACTGAGGAGGCGGGGGGGGGGGGGGCGGGGGGAAGGGGGTTCCGAAGTTCAAGGCCAGTCCGGGCAATACAACAAGACTTTGTCTTGAAATTTAAAAAATACAGTTTTTTTTTCTAAAGACTGGAGATGTAGCTCAGTGCAAAGCTCACAGCTCAGCTCCGAGTCCTGGGAAGAGAGAGGAAAAAAAGAACTGTGCATTTTAAAAATCTCTCTGCAATAAATCCACATCTTGCAGCTATGAGGTCAGATTATAAATAAGGACCATATTAATCTCTCTGTGTTATTCATGCTTTAAAATTCCCCACGGCATCATTTTTGGAATTGTAAATTTGGGAGAATTTCAGGCCACACATGTGGAAAAAATATGTACTCTCACTGTTTAAAAAAAAAAAAAAACTGAACAAAAACACTAATTAAAAAATATAGTGTCCTAAGAATCTAGGAAAATAAAAACTCCCCATAATTTATACATAAACTCAGTTTTAAAAGTATTGTCTCCTTCACTAAAACACGATGCTCAGAAACAAAATTCTTCAGCTTTCCGGTTTTGGGTTTTTTCCCTGTATCTAGCGCAGGGTCCACAGGGCGTTCAGGGTTTCGCTAAGGAGATGGGACTCCTGCCGAGTCTCCAGTTTACAGCCTCCGAATCGCTGGGATTACAGGCGCGCGCCGGCACACCCAGTCGCCGGCGGAGCGCACCCCACGCACGGGTAGGCCGGCGGCGCGCACGCATGCACGCATGCAAGCACGCACGCACGCACGCACGCACGCACGCACGCTGGGGTCGCGAGGGCTGCTCTCCGCCGAGGCGCGCGCTTTAGGCCGGCCTTGGCGTTCTGTTGCAATGGCAGACTTACGGGCGATTTTTCTCCCCCAAGCTTAACTTGAAAGGAAGACAAAAGGCCAGACAAACACACACGAAGCACTGCAAAGCCCAAGTGGACGCTGGTTCCCGAAGGAAGCAGGGCAGCAGGCGGGCGCGGCGGCTCCGGGAGGAGGGCGGGAGGCAGCCCCGCGGCTACTTCGTCTTCCTGCTGTGCTCTCCCGAGAACGAAGCCTTGGCCGCAAGCTGTCCAGAGCTCCCTCCTGGCTCTCCCTGCCTCCTCCCCCGCCGCCGTCCCACTTCTATGACCTGGCTCTGAGGAATTCACTGACTCACTACAAATGAGAAAACCCATCTGAAACTCCTGGCGGGCTACACCGCGTTTCCACACGAGCTGCAGACCCAGCCCAGGCACGGGGCCACCCGCCGGCTGGCCGGCAGCAGGCATCCCGGAAGTCAGGGAGCATCCCGGAAGTCGGGGGAGCGGGCAGCCCGGAAGTCAGGGGGCAGCCCGGAAGTCAGGGGAGCAGGCACCCCGGAAATCAGGCCAGCAGCCCAGAAGTCAGGGGAGCAGGCACCCCGGAAGTCAGGCCAGCAGCCCGGAAGTCAGGGGGCAGCCCAGAAGTCAGAGGAGCAG